AAAGGCAGCGATCTGAACAAAAGCCCTCGCAAGCTTTTGTTAAAAAACAGCCTTGAATGACGTCTTTCTACAGTTCCTCGTGTAGAACACTGTATTTATAAAGATTAATATATAGAGGTGTACAAGTGTTATACCTTTCTGGATAGCTGTAACTGGGCTGCTGTGTAACTGTCATTCCTTGTAGGTTTGTAGGTTTTTAGAACCCTGTTCACCTGAGAGAAACTGCGGGCAAGCGTTTGGGTGATTTGGTTTTGTTTTTCAAAGGGATCCCTGTCAGAATCAAGATGGTTTCCAAAAACGTTCAGCGCACTGGAGCAGCGCTCCTCTGTAGTGCCTTCTCCCTCATCACACTTCTGTAGAAAACTGCCGCTGGCTTCCCCTCTGCAAATTTCAAAACTTGCTAGATCCCACCTGAACAGGCCTCCCAGTCCAGAACTGATGTCTTGGCCTGTGTAAAATCTTGGAAGCTATCAGGTTGCTGGGTTTATTTGTCTCTGCACTGCCTGAAGGGAACACAGGCGGAGTTAGTCTGTGTGATGTCCTGCTTCACCCCTTGCCTCAGTTTATTCCTTGGGCAAAATAAAGCCCGACAACCTTTTTGCAGGCCTGTTTAATTAGGCCATAAAACCAAGTGTAAGACTTCTAGGAACTTCAAAAGTTCTGTTGTGAAGTGCTTGACACTATCTTTATAAAAACAAAACCACCTACAGAAACGTTAGTGTTCTCGACAGCCGTGGTTGATAGAATTGCGCGTTACAGGACGGAAAGGCAACTTGCCTTGATATTTTTTCATGTGAGGAGCAAACTTGTCTTTATTTTTGGATGAGTTCTGATGTACTTGCTGTTGGCTAATATGTCAGCAGAGCATGGTGTTTGTTTTTGTGTTGTTTTTTTTTTTTAAATGTTTCTCAGAGGCCAGGTGATCACGGACTATGCTGCTAAGGTTTAGCCGGCGCAGACCTCAAGCTGCAGGCTGCTGGTGCGGGGGGAGGACGCCCTCCTGGGCTTGCAATCTAGAGACTCACCTCCTGGCTGCCGTAGTGTCGAGTTGGTGTGGCTGGTTGTTAAATTTTGGGTTGTTTTTAACAATTACTGATCAATGTTGTGCTTTCTGCTAAAGAAGACATGTTATTACCTGTCAGCCGGTCTGATAATACATAGAACCTGGTGCAAGATGAGCCCTGTGTGTAGTCTTCATTGGGTGGGAGTAGCCAGGGAGGGCCAGCTCAAGAGTTTTCCAGGCTGTGTCACTCCACCTGGGACTCCCTGGCCGTATGGACGTGCCTGTTGTGCAGCTACCGCCTGGAAGCCGTGTTCCTTCTGCTCTCCGGGCTGGAGCAGGTGCCCGCGGGATGCGGTGAGTATGGGGAGCGGGTCTGCCACGGGCCACCGCGCGCAGCCTGGGCCCTCCCGCTCGCCCTCTGACAAGCCCTCTCCTTTCCTCCTCAGGCCTTGCTTTAGGAGTGGCAAGTCTGACCGGTTTGAAGCACGACGGCAGGCCCGGAGATGCTGCTGAGGAGCGTGGTGTGGCCGTCAGCAGCCGGACTTCGGTGAACTGGTGAGCACCCCGCACACTGTCAGGTGGCGCTGGGGGTACCGGGACCGGCGCCGGCATCTGGCTCTGGCGGAGCCGCGGGGCTGAGCCAGCGCTGGGGGGGGTGAGTCCCTGCGGCCGGGGGTCACTTCTCTGCTCTGACACTGTGGTTGCCCCTTCACAGAAAGGCTCGTTAGGGTTACGCTGTGCTCATATACATCACCGCTGCGTCTCTCTGCCACCCTCATTTGCTTTTTGTTCTGTGAAAGGCCCGTTTCTGTGTCTGAGAGAGGCCGCTCTTTCCCCCCGCCATGGGAGCCATTTACCTGTGTCAGCAAGAGCTCTGGTTTTTCCAGCCCTTCCTCCTCCGGCCTTTCGTGACCCTGCCGAAGCGGTTTCTCCACCAACACCGTGGCTGAACACGACCCTGGTGCTCCCCAGGGCACGCCGGGCTCGGGGTGGGGATGGGGGCTGTGGCACAGCCTCGCCGCCCCCGCTGCGGGCGCTGCCCCGGGGGGGGCAGCGAGCATCGCTGCACTGGCCCTGAAGGAAATACAGCAGGGATTTATTTTAATCTTTTTTTTAAAAAAAAGTCTCTGCATCACCTGCCCGGCCTTTGTGTTGGTGGCCCAGGGCTACCCCAGCCTTACAGCCGGCCCGGGGGGGGACCACTGCTCCTCGGCTGGCTCCCGCCCTCGCTCGGGAAACGATGCCGGCCGTGGGGCTGGATGCTGGCCGTGGGGCTGGATGCTGGCTGTGGGCTGGATGCTGGCCGTGGCTGGATGCTGGCCGTGGGGCTGGTTCGGATGCTCGGGGAGGCTGGGTTCTCTTTAGCTTTGCTTTCCTTAAGTAGAGCAGTAGCCGTTTATTACAGACATTGACAACAGCACGGGGGTTGCTTGGGTTTTTGTTTTGTTTTTTTTTTTTTTTTTTTTCTCTGTGTGTGTTTTTTTCTTGTAGTTGACTCTGGGAGTGAGAGGTACAAGGGGTTTGGTGGCAATTTCAGGGGAGGAGGGAAACAAATTAAGAATAAAAATGAATGCAATTAAATGAATGTGTCCACTGCAGAGCAGACACGGTCTCAGTCTAGCTCATTCTTTCACCTATATGCATGTGTGTTTGTGTATATACATACACAGGTTTCTATTTATTTACACATGCAGGCTGTGGTGGATGGCCAGCAGTTCTACCTGCTATGACCAGTGCTGTTTTTCCCTGTCTGGGTTTTCAGTTCCTTGGCAGGTGCTTGCCCAGGCTTTGCCCTGGCCAGAATTAACTCTGTTTTGGAAAAGTAGGAGCCAGTTGAAACACTCCTGTGTTTTTCCTGATATTTTTCCACTTTCCATGTACTTACTTACTTTTTTTTTGGGACTCCTCTACTGGGCTTCAAAACCGAGCACAGGTAGGAGCACCAGTTTGAACCAGCCTCCCAGCTCCGGCTGAGGGGGCTGTTTGCCAGGCTGCTTCGTGAACCACAGAGTGCTGCTTTTCTCCTTTTCTTTCTTCTCCCTTTTCCCCCCTCATTTTGGGGTCTCAGCTGTGGAGTATCAGAGCTAAGCCCCAGGAGCCCACAGCTGATGGAAGAAACACCCAGCAGTGCCTCCCACCGTGAGTGTGGGGACGGACCAGTGGAAGCTAGGAACAGGTTTTACAAAGTGCAGGTAGCACACCAGCTGGAAAAGCAGCGTGTTCACAAGAAAGTTTGCGGTGACAGGCCCTAAAAATGATTAGCTGCAATAAGGCTGTAACCTAACAAACAACTCTGTCTTTGCTTTTGTTTAAGAAAGGAAAAGTGCTGTTGTACGCTCAGTATGGCAATATGAAATTTCTCGTTCACAAATAGATTCTATTTATCCTGAGGGAAATCGAGTAAGGTTGGGTTGTTCTATTCTGTCTCCCAAGGTAGTTTAAGTAGGGGAGGGGGGAAAAAAAAAAAAATGAAAAGCAGGAGGCAGCTTACATTCAGGGTCATCTTTCTTTTGCCTTTGTGACTGTAACAGGAGAGGCCCTTCAGTGACAAAGGCAACTGCCGCGGTTCAGGGACTCACAGTGTGACTTTCAGCAGCTGTAGGAGTCTCCCAGTGCTGGGAGCTGGGACTTGGGCAGCGCCAGCCTGGCTGAGGGGAGGCGGGACTGTGCTAGGAGGTGGAAGCAGCAGCCCTGATGTCAACACCAAACATTTGTATTGTGTGCAGGGGGGAAAAACCCAACAAGCTAATGCTGTGAGGCCAGGAGGAAAAAACACCATGATGGCAACAAGGAGGAAAAGATAGAAACACTCAATATTTTTTTTTTTATATTAACTTGCTGCAGAAATCATTCAGTGACCCAAAAGAGAATGATTTCATGAAGAAGTTGTAAAATTTGCGTATAATCTAAGGTACCCAGTTAGCTAGAACAGAAATTGTATAGGTAGATTAAGGCAAATCACATCCAAATATGGATTAATGAATCTTTATTAAGGTAAGAGAGCAAATGCAGCGCTGGGGTGGCCGAGGAGTCGCAGCTCCGTCCAGGCTCACCAAATTGTTTAAGTTTCAAACCCCCTTTTATCCACACAGCTGCCGGTTTCAACACCTTGGGCACACCTCCTGGCTTCTACAATCTTATCTTCTTCTTTCTTCAGTCTTGTGGTCACTTACACCTTGTCCTTCAAGTCTGGGCCAATTTGCAGCTCCTTTGTCTTTTATGGCTCTCAGTGGTTTCAGTTCCTCTCTTATCTCAAGGACAAGGGATACCAGAGATGGCCCATTCTGTTCTTTCTCATTCCATTGCAAAGGAGTTGCCACCCTTTGATATGGACCATTTGGTGAGCATCCCAAGGAGGGGGGGCTGTTGGGTTGGTGTTTCCTCAGATCAATTCCCCCCTTTTCTTTACTACTGGGAAAAGTCTTTTACTTTTCGTAAAATTTGTACAACAGAAATCATTAAACTGCAAGCTCAAAAAATAGCGCAAAATATTGCATCACAAGGGCAGGTTGGTGTGCACGACTAGTGCCCTGGGGTGGCCTTTGCTTTGCTGACGTTTACCTGTAGCTCTCCACAAGCTCGTTGCACTCCCGCAGCGCGCGGCTGCAGGACGCGGGGCTGGGGGGGAGCTGCTGCCCCTCCCCGGGTAACGCGGGTGAGAGAGTGGGTTGCTTGGCAGCTGCTGAAGCAGCACAGCAGCTGTCCTCCTAAAAACTTGGGAGGAATTAAAAAGCAAAGGCATGACAGTAGAGTAAAACAACGTTTAGGAAGGTTGCAGGCTGAAGGGTTACAGCTGAAATGTGGTGCTTCGAGTTGTCTGGGTGGCAGGGGAGAGGAGCAGTGGGGGCTGGGAGTGGGGAAGGTTAAAACAGTAACAGTGATGAGGTCGGGAGAGAGGGGCGGTGAGGGAAGTGAAGAGGTGTGAGGTGTAAAAAGACCCACAACTGACATGCAGTAATAAAGTCTGAGAGAAGAAAATAGATTAACTCCAGGCAAATATTAGTGGAAAAACGTTTATATACTTATTGGATAAAGATTACAAGTAAGCAATTAAAAAAAATACAATCTTTTTCATATATAACCTTTTGAAGAGTGTAATTTTAAAGTCAAGAACATTCACTTTTCAGTTTTACGCAGACATGCAACCTCAGAGTGAGCAATACTATGTTTTACAACCATAGAAACATCAATTCGTGCTTACACTGAAATACAAGGAAAACTTAACTTCTAGGGTAATCTTGCTCTAACTCTGGGCAAAGGTTAAGGCTCAGGTACAAACTCACCACCTTCACCCTCTCAACAGGAACACGGTGGGAGTTCTTAAACTGTTCAGACTAAGACCTGCATGGTGCTACTTGTAAACAGAGGTGATAAATCTTCACGTAGTGTAGAACATGGCACAACCCAGCACTGTTTGTGCCATGAGTTTATCGCCAATCGTTACTGTCACCTGAGCCCAGTTTTCAAAATTTGGGCTACAGAACTGGTGGGAAAGACCCAGGCTCGTATAAAATTCAGTATTTGAGTTTAACCAATAGTAATGTGTCTCAAAGAGAGCCTGTTCAGTAAAAGCTGCCAATGTCCCACTTATGGCTTTTTAAAATCAAATCTCTAACTATTCTTTCAAGGAAGGCTGTGTTCCGGGAAGAGACTCAAGACTTGCTATTTGAAGTTTCACAGAGAACAGATGATTAAATTCCAGCTGAATTCTTCCTTCCAGCTGAAAGGATGTACCATGTCAGGAAATTCATTTAGTAGAAGTATATAAAGAGCAAGGGAGGTGCCTGTAGATTATGCATAATAATGCTACAAGTATATAAAAATCTCTGGTTGTTTGGGATAATGCTTAAAACCCGGCTACCTCCTCTCAATACGCACGTTTAAAACAGAAGGTCGTGTAGTTGCCCCTCGTGAATGAAAACGGTGAGTTAAAAGTTCTGCTCTTGAAGAGTGATTGCACATTACAAAGAGGTACATCAGTCACTTCAGAGTACATGCAAAAGGCATCGATTTCTGTTCAATGGGTTAGCAAAGGAAAAGAAGAACCACCCTGTAGTGGCATTAAGACAAGACCTAAATCCAGACAAGTAGTGTTTGGTTGCCTTGTTCATGAACAAACCACGACATTCATCCAAAAGCAAGTGCAGTCCATTCTTTTAAAAGAAGTTCTTTGGAAAAAAAATCCAAAATAGGTAATTTTCTGGTGTGGAACAAGTGCAAAAAGAAGTTTTCCAGCTGTGTGAAAGCAATACACCCACGGGCAGTTGCTGCCGTCTCCAGCGCTGAGCGTTTTGGGGATGTACCCGCCCTGCTTTTGGGTGGAGGCAAATCCCTCCTGGAGGCAGCAACTGCTCGTGGCACTCGGCTCACCCACACCTCCTGCAAACTAGTGCTCCCGTCGAGCTGGAGCAGGCTGGGACCCCCTCCTTGGTTCAGGCAGAGTTGTACTGAGACTTGTCCAGTTTTATAAAAATAAATTTAGACCTTCTTCTTCTGTGTAATACTGGCACAAAGGAAAATGTTTTCTCACAAAAAGAGCTGGCTTGTATGGTGTTCTTAAAACAAATGTTGCAGTCCTGTTTTCCCCTCTAACGGGGGCTTTCACATTCCTAGGCTAATGTGCAAAACAAAAAAAAAAAAAAATGAAGAAAAAGAAAAAATTCCAGTCTGTACTGTCCATATCCAGCTTCAAGGGAGGAAAGCCATATCTCTGGTTGTAGGTCTACCTTTGAATTTCAGCCTCAAATATTTTCCAAGTTGAATACTGACGCGTTCATCTGCTGTGATTCTATAATACTGGATGGTTGCAAAGGTAGCCCTCCAACCAGTTCTCCCCGTGGCCTCGTCTCCCTCACAGTGTGATTTTGCTGGGCTGGTCGCTCCGGCACCCCTGTTTGGCAGTTCTGGGGAACGTCAGGCTGGACCAGCTCCTCATTTTCACCTGCTTGTTGACCGAAGATTTTTTCCGCAGGAGGAAATTGAAGCTCACGCGGCTGTTCATGGCGTAGAACACGTTGGCGTTGCTCGGGATCACCAGTTCTGCAAAAGAGGGACCAGAGCCTTTTGCAGAGTGGATTTGCAGCCCTGCCCGTGGCGGCCGGCGTGCGCGCAGCCAGGCACCGCTGGGCCCCGGCTCCTTGCCCTGCTGCTGCCTCCTCGGGCAAAGCCCGCAGCGAGGGGTGCCCACGGCAGCCGTCCTGCAAAAACGGGGCGGCAGGCCCGCAGAGGGGAGGAGGAAGGCGGCCAAACCCAGCCCACCCCTCCAGCCTGGCGGGAGGAGGCTGTGCCGAAAGCCCCGGCGCTTGCCCGGCCCGAGGGCTCGGCGGGCGCCCTGCACGCCCGGAGCTCTGCCAGGGAGCTCTGCCTCGGTAAAGCCGCCTGCTGACAGCCCGGGATAAACCGTCCCCGCGCCCCAGTTAGCGAGGGGGGGGATTCGCACTGGCGGCTGGGACAGCACGGCCGCGGCCTTTGGAAACGTCGCTTCACATTTTACTCTTCCCTTCCGAATCCAGCAGAACTTTTCCAGCAGCAGCAGAACTCTGCTTCCCTACCTTTGTCCCGAGAGATGACTTGTACAAGCTCATAATCCTCAGCCGTGTCAGATTCCAGGTTGTGCTTCGCCATAGCTCTCTGGATGACAGCCGGAGTTTTCTCTTGGTTAGTTATCTGGAAAGTTTTGAGGAGAGATTCTGCTTATTTTCTCTGTGTAATGATTTCATAATTAGCAAAGGCCTGCCTCCCTGTGGACCGCTTGGTCTTGGAAAAGATTTCAGAGAACTGAAAAAAGATGATGGGTCAGTAAGGTAGTAGTAGGTACTGCTAGATACTGAAACATGGTATTATGTGACATGTGGTGGTCCTGGTTTTTTAATTCGTGACAACAGATACTGTACTAGAAGAGACAGCAGTAAATCACAGCGTCTGCTCTCCTGAGCAAACACTTCAAGAGGTGAGACGTTGCCCTCACTAGCCATAAAAGCCCACATAAATAGCTGCCCCATCTGTTGTTTGCAGACGTCCATTAATCTGCAGTCTCCCTTGCTAAATACTTTCTTTGACATCCTGCAAAGATATTTGGCCTTGCAACCGGGATTGCTGTCTGCTGTGGAAGTGCTGTGCATCCGGCGCAGACACAGGGCTCCCTCCCTCCCTCCCTCCCTCCCTCCCTCCCGAGCCTTACGCAGTCAGAAGGAAGATTTGCCTTGCCAGTAGCCGAACCTGTCAGGCCCTCGGGGCACGGCTCTTTGTCATTTGGGGAGGTGAGAGCATTCAAATCAGAAGGTAGCTAGCTAACCGTGCTAAGAACTACCCCGCCGTGTGTCTGTTCCCCCCAGGCCCCGGCGGACCCGAGGTGTTGGAGTGTCCCTCGGGTGTTGGCAGAGCTGGCGTGCCGGGATCCCTCCCGGGACCAGCATCCAGGGAAGCACCTGAGCACTGGTTGCTGCTGGTCTGACAACCTTGGCCGCAGGGAGAGGCTGCGCGATTAAAGGGCTTGTCAGCTTCCTCCTGTACAGCTCCCTGTTTCCAGAAACCAGCTCCTAGGGAAAGTTTCTCCAGGGAAAAAAACCTGGCACGTGGCATCTTGTGTCAAAACCCACGCACAAGTTCTGAGCTAGAGAAAAAGCAGCTAGTGCTGGCAGAAGGGCAGGAGCCGCAAAGCCTGCACTTGATCAGAATACTTCACTTAGAAATTTTTGATAAAATCCGGGCTTTAATTTCAAGACCAGAAACTTCCACAAAGCTGCTGTTTTCAAACCTCTCCTTCATACCACAGCTCCACAGATTTTGAATTGTAACGGTTGGTCATTTTCTCTTTTAAGCCGGGTTGGATCAGGCAGCTCAGTGAATAGGTGTTTTCCAAAGTAAAAGCCCCATTTGTTTAAGTCACCCTGGTTGAAAACATCACCAACGATAACAGCACGTTGCTGTTCCGCACCACTCACCAGGATGCTCTTGTAGATATTGTCGTTGTTGTTTTCCGTGCTGATCCGGATGACGCACGTATCTTCCTTCTGCTGGTTGTCAACAGGAGGCAGCACTTGTGAGAGAATGGGCGGCGCGGAGACAGAGCGCTTGTCGGAGCACTTGTCGGAGCAATTATCGCAGAACTTGTCTGAGCGCTTGTCGGAGCGCTTGTTATTGGAGGAGAGTGAGGGAGAGGATTGAACTGGAGATGACACCCCCGAGGAAGATGTGTCAATGGAATAAGTGCAGGAGGAGGAGGAGGAGGGGAGGGAGAAGATGGAGGAGAAAGAGGAAGAGGGTTCTTCAGGGAGCTGCACAACAGAAAGAAAGAAAAACACCGTCATAACCTGGACATCTTGTATGTCTGCGTGTGTCGTTCTGGAGGAAGAACTTGAGACAGCAGAAGGCCTATGCAAAACCTCAGTCATCTGCGCTCTGGCCAGCAGGCTGGCAGTGGTATTCCTTGCCTCCAGAAAAAGTGAACTGCACCCGATTAATTTCCCCATTTTCATGAAAACTTATTTCCAACTCGGTGTGGCGGACAGGGTGCGCTGCTTGCTCGGGCTCTCAGTGAGAGCAGGCCAGGAGATGGCAGCACGTAGATGCTGTGGGCGACTGGGGGGTCACAGCTCCGGGTGGGAATGAGCCTTTACACGAGTGAAAATACACACGCGCCTCCCTGCCTGCCACTTCTTGAATGTTCTTTCCTCATTGGGAACTGCCCCCTTCCTTCCCCCGCTGCTCTGGGGTTTGCCTTTCTCCTCATCTGCCTTGCTCAGACACTGCTGAGAGGATCTTCCCTCTCCATCTTGCATATCAAAACCACCCTAACAACTGCTCCTGCTAAACAGCTGAAATGATTTATGGATGTCCGTCTGGAACCTCATCCTTTCTTTGGCTTAAGAACATTTGGTACAATTTAATTTAAAATATCCATCAGCTAAACCCCAATGTGACACTTCAGCAAAACATCCCTGAAAAGGGCTTCAATCAACGCAGTTAACGGAATTTAGTTCAGGAGGGAAGAGTCTGTAGGAAAGATGTCCCCTGTGGCTGCCCCATCAGGCCCCTTCTGCCGGTGTCCTGCCCGTGTATCTTGTCCCTCGGGGTGGCCGAGGCGCAGACCCGGCCCATCTGCTCTGGGCACGAGCGCTCACAGCTTCAGCCCTCCACTCCTTTTGCCGTGGGGGGTTCCCAACCGGGGGGGGGCGTGGGGGGGGGCTTTGCCTTCTGGTGTGCTGGGGTGCCGTCCCTTCGTGCCGCGCCGGCACAGAGCGAGCGGGCGGAGGGGCAGCGGCACCGCGCCCCGACTTCCCCACCGGGATGGAGCTGAGCCGAGGCACCGTGTTCATCTGGGCAGCAGGGAGCCCCCGGGGGGTGAAACCCGCAGGGCTGGAGAGCTCTGTCTGTACCTGCCTTCGCTCCCCCCCCCACAAAACAAGAGCGCAGGCCCAGCTGCAGCTGGGCTTTCCTCGGTGAGCACGGGGCTGCTGAATTCAAAGCTCCTTTTCCAGCTGCAAGTCATCAAGTGCGATGGACACAACAGCAGGCTGCTAACAGCAGAATAACTCATCAAACCCCAGACACTCAAAGAGGAAGTGCCCAGCTGTTGATCTTACTCCTCTCTTCAGCTGATCCCATCTCCTGTTTCTTTTGCTTTGTTTGTGGGGGCTTAGAGAGCCTCTTGGCCCTGTCACTGCTAACGTCATGCTGCCACGTGCCAGGAGTGAGCATGGTGCTCAGGCTCCTCACCCCAATTCCCACAGGCTTGAAGGTAGAAATGCCTTTAGCCTGCCCCGTCCCTCAGAAAAAGCACAATGAGGGGCCGAAAGAAAAATTGACCTCGTGCTTCTCCACTGCCAGGCATCACAAGAAAATCCAGTTTCAGAGAAAGAAAACTTCAGTCTGCCTTCTACCGTGGCAGCTTAGAAGGCTTTGTGCGAAGAGCCCGACTGGATTGATTCCATTTTTACACATTTATTTCTGGAGTCTCTCCATGCCACCAAAAGCAATGCTGTAGTCAAGACCAGCAGGCTCAGGCAAGCGTTTAGGGCCTGCCTGCGGGACCAAGAGTCTCTCACAGGCTGCTTACACCTGCAGCAAGGCCCAGGACCGTACCTTTTTCTGAGGCTCCTCAGGAGTGCCCATGGGAGTGGTGAAGGCATCTTCAGTTTCAGATTGATTAAACTCAAGCGACGAAACGCTGGCTGAGTCGGTGCTTTCACCCGAGCTCCCACTCGGAGCACATTTGGGTTGCTCCTTGGTGGGTGTGCTGTGGGTGAGCACCTCGGAGCCTAGAAACAATCTAGTACAGAAAAGAAAGCGTAAAAGCCAGTAAGTGAAAGCAGAACAGGGCTGGGCTGAGCAAAGCTGTCACTTGGTTCAAAACCCTTACGTGTTGTTTTGTTTTCCTATCTCGTGGCCTATTGTTTTCATTTCCTCTGTGGTGGTCAGAGGGTTTGCCAGGAGTTTGTTACGCACTAACACAATGCCTTCTTGACCTAGCGTACCCACCAGCTGCAAGGCCAAAATGGGAGCTAATGCTCAAGTATCACAAACGACACTCCCCTTCGGCCCGTTGAATTTTCAGACCCACTTGCTAGGAAGCGATTGATCCTAAACCCGTTGTGTTTGCCAAGCGATGGGGCGAGTTGGGGGCCCGGCAGCTGCCCCCCCCCCCCCCTCGCAGCCCTGCACGCTGCTGTCCCAGCCCGGTCCCTCTGACGTGAGGCGGCTCAAGGCCCACGCGGTCGCCACGAGCGCCTGAAACCGTAAGTGAAAGGAGACACACGGCCCTGCGCCGGGCAAAGGTCTTCAAAAGGCGAACTCATCCCTGCTGCTAATTCTTTCACTCCATAAAGGTGCCACAGACACCAGTTTCTAAGAACAGGAGACGTACACAACGAGATCAGAAGAAAGTGTAAATTATAGGCTCTCCCTCTCCGAGACTCGTTTCTAAATGCAGGTCAAGTAAATTTAAAGGAGTGTCAACAAACTTGTATAATATATAAAGCCAAGAAGCCAGGTGAATTAGGTGCTACGTCAGCATGCAGTTAATGATTAAAACAATTTAGAGAGGTGTCACCGGCTGCTGCCGGGATGAATTATGCCAGTCTTTCCTACAGTATTAATTTGCAAAATACATTCGGAGTGCAGACGAAACAATTCTTTAGACAAAGACTGCACAGCGCAAACGAACTCCACACGGCAAATTACAATGCTGCAGCACTGAAACGCAGTCAGAAACGAGAGAATAAAGCCTGTGCTCCTCAGCGACAATTCTTACACGCAGCTCAGGCACCTGCCGAGCGAGACGCAAATGAGAGGCCACCGAGAGTTCAGGCACTGCCACCTGCAAAGCTCACGTTTTCATAACATCTCAACAGATGGACTAAGCAAAATGGAACTCAGATGAACTAATCGCAACACTTTCCAAACAGCTGCCCAATTTTTTATTTTTTTTTTTTTTTTTTTTATCATATCAGAACTCAAAACTCTAGATTGAAAACATCCATTCTTCTTCCAGACCCTAACCTGCCGTAGCGCTGCCGTGAAGTGAATGGCTACTGGCTGTTCTGAGGAGCCCAGGCACAAGAGCCAAGCAAGGAAGGCCAGTTAAGAGCTGATAGTGCTGTTACATTCATCATTTCCCCCCTCATCTTGATCATGCCACTGGTACGTGGGAGTCCCTTTATATCTCCCCTTGCATCAGGTTCAAATTTCTCACCTTTAAGGTATTTTGACTTCTGTCTTTGATCTCTGCTCTCATTCCCTGCAGCTTTCTGTGAATTCCTGCTAGTCTATTGCTCCCTGTGTCTGCTTAGCTACATGCCCCTGTTCTCCACCCACCTCCTGTTGGAATCTTTGCGGTATTAGACTGAATTGAACCACGTCCCCATGATTTTTTTCATTCTCCAACTTGAAGGCAGTTAGGCAGATTGTTTCTATTATCAAGGCTAACCTTAATTTTCAGCTTAGAATCCTGCAAGAAATTTTTGCGTGTGTACTACAAATTAGACTAATAATAGGCCAGACTTTATCCTCATTTACTGTTTTGCCTCTGCATTCAGGGCAGTAATTACACAATAGATATTGAATTTATAATCCAGCACTAAAATCGTTCCTTTTTCTGACACCTTAGGAAGGCTTGCTTGTTCCTAATCTCTTCCATCATTATTAATCCTCATGACTACTCATAACAACAGAAAGGGACCGCTTCAGACAGAAGTTTGCATTTCTAGCTGATGGCATCTCCTTAAAGTAATGCAGTGGTCTGGATCCTCAGCCGGGTTTTTCAGCTGGTGAAACCAGTACTGCTTGTTTGATTTATTCAGGTTCCTATTAACACACCAAATACCCTTTGCCCCGTCGTACTCACTGGCTGAGCCTCTTCACCATGCTTTTCCGAGACTTTGGGAACATAGTGCTGGTGTCAGCAGCTGCTTCAATTTCACATGAAAGGCTGTAACTGCAGGACAGAGGCCACTGGGTTAATTTTTACAGACAGTACTATTAGTTACCTATCTCCAAGTAGCAATATTCAAGAAACCTCCAGTTATTCCCACTTCACAGAAAGTTGCGACCCCACAAAGAGGAATATAGTGTGCTCTACATTTTACCATGGTGAAGGGGATATTTCACTTCTTTATAATAGTGTTAAAAACTAGTGCTTTTTTGGATGACATTCATAATTTTATTAAAAAAAAAAAATACTTAACATGTGAATCTCGGATAAGCTGACATTTTTTAACTATGACTCAGTACAATGCGATACGTATCTGTGCTTACACCCTTAATGCAGCAGAGTGGCACCCACACACCCAGTGGAGATACTAAACCGCTGTCAATAAATTGCCTTGGGTTGGTCTAGCAGCGTGTGCAGCAGCACAGAACTCAGCAGGGCTGCCAAACCCACCCCAACCCCCGGGAGCGGGTGATGTGGGGAGCGCTGAGCGAGCCCTGCGTTGCCTTGGCTCCCTGCTGCCCGCAGCCACCAGCCCAACGCTCGCTGCCCGCACCTGGACATCCCGCAGGACCGACCTCGGAGCGTGTGTCTGGGCACAGAGACAGCCCAGGCGCAACAGGCGATCAGATCTCCAGTCTCAAACATCAACCCTGCTAAGTGTCCGACAGTTTTCCCACAGCTGTTTAGCAGGAGGCAGGTGTATTTCCACCCTCCTGGGGCGGCAGTGCATGTGAGCTGCTGGGAGAGGACGGCTAAAGGCTGACGTAACCTACCTGCAGGTGGGTGTGGGGTAAGAAAAGCCCGCTTCCCCGAGAACCTACCTCTCCTCCTCAGTTAAATGCTCTTGCCTCCTGAACCACCGGATGAATTTTTGGTCTGGTGTCATGCAATAGCTGTTACATGCAGATTGCAAGAGCTTAATTTGGGCAATGACTTCAAATTCCTAAAAAAAAAAGAAACAATCAAATAGGAATTGTAATTAGAAAACAAGATAAAACCAAACTCACACATTCATATACTAAACACATGCAACAACTGGACAAAATTCATTTGACCTGAAGCTCAGTTTCAGTTGAGTGACTATCTCAAGAACCACTTTTTCAAACAAGTCTCCCCCACCCCAGTCTATGTATATTCTCCCCCCCCTCCCCAGTATATGTCACGTGCATTGAAACGTGAACGCTTTATCTGACATACACAAATTAGAAGACAAACAGAAGGAATCATACTGTCACCACAGAGCTTTTCCCACGTGCTAACCGCAGCACTGCTGGTTGTTCCTCTAGGAACAAGGGTAGCAAAGGGTCTTAAAGTCTTCACGTTACCCTACCTGCTCACCCCTGCGCTGGCCGGACCAGCTGCCAGAGAAAAATCCTGCTCTGTGCTCAGGTGGCTCTCGGGCAGCAAGCGAGGGTAATAATTAGGGGTGGCTGTGATGAAAGCAGAGCCTGATCCTCCCCAGCTTTGCACATTGTGCACTCACACTTGCATCAGGGGAATATAAAGTGCTGCCCGTAACTGTGCGTGACTAGCAGGTGCCGCTCTTCTCTAACTCCAGTGGCGTACACACTTCGCCAAAATAATTCTTAAAAAACCCCTCGTGTCAGAGCAGGTTACAGAGCCGGGATGCAGGAAGGGAGCCGAGTACTCGGCCTGGTGCAGAGGGCAGCTTTGCCACCGGTTTGTGTGAAGCTGGGCTGATGAGCACAGAGAAGTTCGTGTATCGCATTGTTAGTGCCCTGAGCCACCATGCAGTTGGACGTACAAGGCAAGTCCAAGAAGGGGTTTGTAGAGCTGGGAGCAGTTCAGGGAAGGAGATGGCTCTGTCACAGCCAAACCCAAGTCTGCTCTCAGACCCCAGACCGGAGATTCAGCATCGCTTCATTCAGACGGATGTAACCCTGGTACCTTTACTCCTACATAACCTCACTTATCTCTGACCAACAAGCATCAGGCTGAAAGGAAAGACTGATGGCACTTATTTCTCAGTCTCGTCTGCAGCCTTTTACCTACAAATAGTTTGCTGCAGCAAAAGGAAGATATATACAAACTGTATCTTCTGGAAAGCAAAGGTCTCATGCCACCAGGTCTGCTTCAACACAGAGGATACAGTATTCCCATGCACACCAAGTGGAGGGAATGCGCATGCCCCAGATGTAAATCCCATGGCCTGCAGCTTTTCTTCCCCTACTGCACACACCTAAAAGGTAGGTTCTCGTCCTGCGCCACCCCTCACAGTTTGGCAGAAGCTCACAGCATCTCAGGGGGCTAATTCTTTCCTCACAAACTGGCATTAAAATTAGCAGCTGTTGTATATGCCCGAGCAATGACAAATGGCCTTGCCAAGAGAACGCTTTAGAAGAGGGCATCAGTAAACTAAAAATCACAGGACATTCAACTTACCTTTCGTCTCTTCTCAAAATTGATCAGGCCACCCTGTTGGAAGGAAAGAGAGGGGATCAGAGTAGAAAAGCACATGCTTAGTTGAATTTAATCACAAACAGGATGAAGTAGCAAGGCTAATGTAAAGCGCAGACCTGCCCTGAGCAAGGACCTTCTAAAAATACCTGTTTCCAGATCTGGTATAAACCACAGCACCCATCTATCTAAGTCTCCAAAGGAGATCTGTCCTCCTGGCCTATATGGCAATCTGCCCAAGGAGAAAAGCCCGATACAAGAATGCTCATCAAAGCTGTGTCGAGATCAGGTCTGAAAAACGCTCACGGGGTTTTGCATGCAAGAAACAAACTTGGCTCTTGCCTGTGCTGTGAGTTTAGCGGTGGTCCCAGTGAGTTTCAGAAACACCAACTGAGCACAAAGCACTGGACAGCAGGGAGAACTCCCCAAAAGAAAATGGATCTATAGCAACCTTACGCAGGCCTGCTTTAGTGCAGTTTTGCAAAGCCAACCACCAAAAAAAAAACCAACCGCTGTCAGCCCAGGGAGAAGCGTGTTTGTCCATTCTTATCAGAAATATCAACAGCGGCGCAAGGAAGGCTGCAGTGTCTCTATTCATGGTTTCAAACGCCTTTGAAAACTGGCCCCATCCTCAGTCTCTGTTAAACGACCAGACTCTCTTGCAATCCTTTTTTCCTTTCCTATGCTAAATTGGTTCCCCCTGCTTGCTCAGCTAAAGAGAAATGAAAACAAAACAAATCTTCGATCACGTGTCTGAGTCAATACTGAAGCACTTCAGTGATCGGTCTGAAGAGCTGAATTCAGTGATTCTGTGTATTTTACCAATTATTCACAGAAATCTTCACGTCTAAAATGTTGTTTTCAGAAAAATAAAATGGAATAATGCAAAGCCTACTTTCTTCACATTTTCTAACCTAAGAAAACAAGACAAAATACAATATTAAGCTTGTCCCTTGAGATACTTGAATTCACACAAGATTCTTGTTGCTAATAAAACTGCATATTGCTTCCTTTTTTTTTTTTTTTTTTTTTTTTGAAAACAGATGCTTCCATTTTTAAGAACTGCACAGGAACCCAGTAGGAGATACAGAAACAGACACAGCTCTGTGCCAGGAAGGCAGGGAGGATATTTAGGATTCAAAAAGTTGACTTAAATTACCTCAGTATAGTCCTGAAGTGCTGTGTCAAGCATGATGAGATCAGTGAGGAAGGTACCAAGATAAGGTACCGTGCCTTGCATTAATCCCTGCAAGTGATCACAGCAATGTTGGATTAATTGACTGAGAAATGGTAATAGTTAGAACGCTAGAATATGCCTGTATAAGAAAATGAAATAAAAGCAGTCTCCTAACCAAACAGCGGTCTTAGAAATTATGTTTTCTTTCATAACATCATCCTCAGCATCTAATCTAGAATTTAAATCAAATTCTAATGAGAGCGGGATGCTCTCACAGATATTGCCAAGTGGTTTTATATTATAACATTGCCACCACACCCTGATTTCTAACAGCAGCTCACCAGGAAACCCTGCTTGTGGAAGCAGCAGGGGCAGGGTCCCTCGGTTACCTGCTATGAGAGAACGAGCTGGGGAATGGCCCTGGCTAGCCTGTGCAAGCAGTTTCTCTCTCTCTGCCTCATTCCAGTGGATTTTTTTACTTAATGGTGGTGTTATGCCATTTGAGAGTCAAGTCAAATCAAATTACAGTTTTTCTCCTCCAAGAAATGACCATCTTCTCCAGCCATTCACTACATTTTAATAGTAATTATTCACATTTTAAACTTTCTAGACTGCTAGCAGTTGTAGAGTGTTTCTACACTTGTGAAGGAAATGCTTGATTTCTACCATCCAAAAGGGTCTGTATTTTTCCAGTCAAACAAATAGACAAACAAAAAAAATCATATTCAGCACTTTTGCCTCCCTATCCCAGATTTCTCTCCCCCTGTCCTTTTAAATCTTTGCCAACTTTGAGACAAAAGCCATTTTCACCAGCAGACTGGAAACCGGACACATTTTACAAAGCCATCTCTGTAGAAGTCTCTGCAGTTTTCAAGCTGGTACGTCAGAAGCTTCGTGAGCTTGCTTAAAAGTAAATGAGATTTCTGCTCTGGCCAGAGCTAATTTTCTTTATCACAAGAATTCCAGGCATTTACATTACATATTTTACTACAAGAAAATTGTGTGGCTTTCCCCATCTTTCTTTCTAAAGGGTAACAGGAGTAGTTAATGGAGTTCTTTCCTGTAGGACAGAAACAAGACAGTTGAAATGAAGCACACACGTTTATATGCATCAATCATCTGTGACCCTTCTGTACGACAGGTTTACTAAATCTCTGCAAGACTTGAAGCTACGGCCAAACCCTTGGCTCGGCGTCCATCCCCAGCAGCTGGCTGGGATGTGAGGCAAACGCGCGTGGAATGGGGAGCAGCCGGCCTGTACCCCCGCTACCCCCTGGCAGGGGACGGAGGGAGACTGGCCCCAGGGCTCCTAACAGGGCCCCCGCCTGCGCCCACCCAGCCCTGCAATCCCTGAGCCTCCCCAGGGTCAGCTCACGGGGCGCACTGGCGGTGCTGGTGCTCTGCCCCTCCGTTCCCTCCAGCCCCTGGGGACGCGGGCGGTGCTGGCGCAGGAGGCAGCCGGCTTGCACGACAGCCCGGAGCTGCCCAGCTTGGGCTGGCTGCAGCACAAATCCCACCTGGGAATTGCTTGTGTACACGGGTGTATGCACGGGTGGGATCATCCTCTCTCTCTATAGGCACGTTAGAGGTACACACACATAGTCTTACGGGCAGGCTGTGCTCCAGCAGCTTAAGGGAAGTACAGCTTTGGGCGTATAGTTACAGGGACAAACATTCTGGCTGCATATTCAGTCTAAACCTTTTGCTTCACTTGCTTTGTAGCAGCTAATCGACAGCATTGATGTGATTGTTTTTCTTGACAGAGGGCTCAATCAAGAGCATTACCTACTGCACACTCGCTTTGTTAAATACCTTTCTAGATTTTGCTTCTTACATAATTCGCCAATTAGGTTTAATCATGTTACCAGTCCAAAAAAAGGAGTAAAAGGAACCCAAACACACCATATATTTTTGAAGTTGCAGTCGCCTCCGTGTCCTTTTCTGATTTTCTTTCACACTGCTGTCCAGGTTTGCAAATTTGGATGTCCCTTCCTGTGAGACAAAAGAGAATGAAAGGCAATGAATGGAGGAGCTAAGTGGTAAGCTGACAACTACATTTGTATAAAAGAATGGCAAATACACTTAACAAGGCAAGCTAGGCCAGCAAAAATATTTGCTGTACAGGTACGTGCATGTATACGTACATGTGCTAATTTTCTGAGACTCATAGACTGATTGGGAATTTTGGACAAAATCCCACAAGATGACTGTAAGGGAGTTTGTCTGCAAAATGGCTCTACTCTGGACAAAGCTAAGTGCTGTTGAAAATCTCCTGAGAGTTTAAATCAGAGAAGATTAGCTATACTTCAGGTGGCCAGATGCTTCTCTGAACTCTACCCTAACACTCTTGGCCTCAGGATTTCTGTTTAATTTCCTAATCAGGACCGCTACAAGTAAACATCTCTATCTTATGTAAGGCTTTGTTGTTTTTCTTGTGCCACAACATAGAGATCCAGCAACTACCCTCTGTGTCTTACTGACTAATCCAAAAACACGCAGGAAATGAAAGTAATAGGCTTTCATCTCCACAATTCAAGCCTTCCTGGGAATGGATGAGCTATTTCACAATAGATCTGTAGACTTTACTTCCCTGGATCCATACAGGATGCTGGGAGTTACTGTTATTTTTTCCAGCCGTTGGATAGATGGGGCATGAATCATTATCCGTGTTTTTAAGAGGCACAAAACAACAGCCTGCACTTGTAAAGATCCTCTCATTACAACATTTACTTCTCTCAGTCACCGTTCAGGAACAGATCACTCAAACTGTATTTCCTTCCTCAGCTGAAGAACTGGAGCAAATGAAAAAGGAGTGTTGTCACAATGTTTTCAAGATACTGATAGGTAAACTGGAGATTCTCTAACAGCAGCCGGCAGGCAGGCAGGCAGGCACAGAAGCTCAAACTGCAGCTCGCAGCAGAGCTGTTGTTTGGGGAGGAGAGAACACAGTGCTCCCTCTCCGTGCCAGCCAACCTGTGTCATATGGCATTTTGTCTGCTCTACACTGAAATTTGCAGGATGGATAGTCAAGGTCAAACACGGCTACCCTAGAGACACTATTTATAGTGAAAGAAAACAAAGACTTTAAGGATTCAGTGGACATTAATCCCCAGTCGTTACAAAACAGTCCAAAATGAGAAGTAGGAGAGAGGTTCTAGCTGTTCTGTGGAATTTTTCTCCTCTCACTGCCTTCAAAATATTTTGCAAATCTACTTACAGCAGCCGGAGAGGGTGATTTGCTGGGAGCCAGAAGGTCTGGGCTCAGATTAAGTTGTTGTTTTGTCTGTTTAATATTTAGTTTAATAAGCTGTTCTGAACACACATTTTCCCTCTGTGCTTATTATTGTCTCACCTACTTTAAAATTTAGCTACAGAAGTTGATAAATGGATGATAAAACCGACTGACAGGCTCGAATGTGTTCGCCCATCACTCCTGAGCAAAACACAGTGTTTCAGATACCAAGGCAAAGGGGTAAGGTACAAATGCCAGACTGACTGGATAGAACTGCCAAAAAGTAAACTGGTTAGCCAGTTTATAGAAATTTTTTTTATGTAAACAGAAAAAACTGCCACAAACATTCCTTAGTTTCTACAGAATATAACCTTTCCCCGCTCTTCTTTCTCACTTCTTTCAAGCTCCTGAGCTCGTTGGGGTTCGCCCAGCAAAGTGCACAAGTCAAACTGTTGCAGACAGAGCCTGCTTTGTTGTCCATCTGCCCACACACAGAGCAGGAAGCCTGTTCCTTCAAAATTCCCAGCCCTGTTTTCTAGTTCCAAGAAAGGTACGAGATAGTCGGATAAACACCTTGGCTTAATTCCTCAGCTGAAGCTGAGTGGCTTTGTTCCAGTGAAGTCAAAAGCAGCAGAGCAGTGCAACCCAGCTGAGAACCTCATTCGGAGCTGCCCCGCACTCACCAGTGCCAACCTGAGCCTGCCCAGGTCTGCTCGGGGGGCGCACAAGCCAGCGGCCCATCTCTCTGCAGGGAGCAGTGTAAAGCCAAGGTGCTAATTCGTAACTCAGCTCGGTACAACCACGCTGTGCAGCACCTCTCCGCTCTGGCTGTGGCTCCAGTGGTACCACAGGCCCGGGCGGGCGCGCGCAGCCACTCGAGCCGGACATCACCGTGCCCAGGGGAGCGGTACCAGGGACCTCACTACAGCAGGGGGACGTGCAACTGGAGGGGCTCCACGGGGTCCTGGCCCGCTGCCTTGTGAACAAGCCCACGCAGAATCTGCGCTGCTGCAGCCTGCTGTATGTGGGTGTCCAAGCTCAGCGGGCTAATGCTAGTGTAGGTGCTTTCAGGAAGGACAAAATCACCTCTTATCCCAGGAGAAAAGCACCGGCTTTACAGACCTATCTTCCCTGAAGCACCACATAGAGTAGCTCAGGGAATGCTGAGCTTTGGCAGCTGGTTAGAAAAAGGGCTAAACTCAGCTTTGACTTGAGATCACAAGCCTTGCTACTGAAGCTAATTCTCACCTTCATTAGCAGCTCCCTGCTTGTCAAATAATTGTCATGGTCCGAGAAGATATCGGACAGCTCTTCGAATATCAGCATTATGTCCCTGTACAGGAAAAGATTAAATCATTTAGGTTATCGGTAAGCACTCTAAATCAGAGCAGATTACTATTTTTTCCTCATCAGTCATTAACAGTTGGGCGTATAAAAGATAACACCAACAAAATGCATCCAGTGAGATGCTGCACACCTACTAGGAACTTTCCTGGGATCTCTGGTGCTCCCAGCAAAGTCAGGCCTTATTTGACAGCATCACGAGGAAATGCCATAAGTATGCAGACGCTGAGCCAGGCCTTTAATCACACTGTAGGTTATCAGATTGTTGTGAGAAAGTGGGTAAATGGATACAAAGGAACAGAAAAATAGCTGTGAGAGGTATCCTAAGAACCAGATTTTTGCCCTGTGTCACACACTCTGGAAAGCTAGAAGCCTTTAAGTGCACCAGCCCCTTTTTATTACCCAACACTATAAACACAAGATGGCAACATTTTGGTCAGGAACAGAAACACAGGGCAGCGCAAGGAAAGACCCCATCTCTCTAGTGGAAATGCAGAACTAGACTGCATGGCAGAGTGACATTTTTCTTTGTTTATCAAAGGCAAAGGAAATAAATCTATTCTCAGACTGAACGAGCAGAACACCATCTTCCCTACACAGAGATTTCTGGTGTCTCTTTGGCACGCGGTAAATATGCCAGTTGCACAAAAAGGTATTCCCCTGTGGGAAACACCAGCTTCAAAACAGGTTTGGATTTTGTAGTTTGGGGATATGTTTTAAGGAAATGTCAGGACCAGGAGAGGATTAGTGCGGGTTTGTAGTAACCTGGGCCTCCTCCAACTTCACAGGAGAGGAGACAACAGGCAGGTATCATGGTGCCCTTTTGCTTGCCTTCCAAGGGTGGTGCGCACGTGCTGGGTGAGTAGCTAGTCCTATAATTTTTCAAAATAGGTTGTGGAAGGTCTAATATGCTATAAAGGACAGAAGAGACCCAGTATCCCCGAGGGCAGGTTGTCCCCTCAATAGGAAAGAGGAGCTCACAGCAGTCAGACCCAAAAAAGGGGTCTGAGCCTCACAGGAATGAGGAGATCTTCTAAGAGAACAGATGTCCACAGCAGAGCAGAATAGGAAGGCTGAGAAGAATCAGATGAAAAGAGCGAGCACTGAGCTTTTGCCTTTCTTTGGGGCTAGCCACAGGAACGGAGAGGGAGGCTTACTTTGAAACACACCCCCACGTCTTCTTTAGCCGATAGATGGAGTTGGACTGCAGAGCTGAAATGATGGCCCTCAAGGAGGAAAAATTCTTCAGGATCCTACATTCCTGTGAAAGGAGCGGTTAGAAATACAGGAGCATTAAATGTCAGCATTACCAATACGTTAGCGCTCTTCTGTTTGACGGGTGTCATGCTTGCTACACATTCTCACTGCTAAGCAGGCAGCTGTACAAATATTGAGTATCAAAAATATCACTTCCCCCCCAGCCAGCCTCCAGCCACCAAACACTTTACGGGCTTTGGCACTTATATCTTGTTTTCCTCACTTTCCTGTATTTGTGGTGATGTTGCAGCGTTACAGCTTCCAGTTGTCCCAGTAAAAATAAAAGTGGAACTGAGTCCATGAAGCTAGGCTAAAAAGCACAAATGTCACACTTCTTAAGAAGCTGTTTACAGTTACCAATCCCTTTTACCCCTTAGGGGGAAACCCAGGCTTTGCCTCTTTGTATGTGGTATTTAAAATGTAAACCCTCAATCAGCTAAGTGTCAATTAAAAATAAAGACATGCAAAGGAATAACCTGTATTCAAGTATGTGCACACTGTTAAAGAGAAAAACCTTCCCAGCTTTTCCCAAGTTGGGATCAAATCTTAACAGAAAGACTGGTTCATAGACATTTCTTATGCAGCTTCTCTGTGGCAAAAGCTTTGATGGAAAAGGGTACTGAAAAACTCAAAAAAAAAATCAGCACAGATTCCTGGTAAAGCAGACAGAAGCAAGAAGGAAGGGTAAAGTTTGGTCTGGGACTCTTCGTGGAACTCCTGTAAATCTGTTGGCGGCTCATGAACTAGAGCCCAGGCACCACAGACTTAAGAAACTCTTGCAAATACAAGCTCTCACAAACAGGTGTCAGTACATGCAAATTAAGCAGACAAAACACATGCCAATTTGACTGTTGCATGTAGATGAGAATGTATTCAAACTCTGATTGCGCTTCTGCAAATTGCTATGGGGCTGATTATTACACTAATAATGCTGATGATGTAAAGGATCCTTACACTGAAAATAGACATAATTTATTTCCTTTGTAGGACTGAACAAATGTAAAGCAACCTTCATAGAAACAAGAGTCAGACCTTAGTATATCAGCAACTCTGCTCATGAGTTGCATTAAAATTGACTGAACAACTAAGGCAAGTACGTTTACTCCCATTTATTTACCTAAAAAAAAAAAAATCTTCGTGCAACTTAGGAGGCTACGTTTAACAAAGCGTGGCTTAGGAGGGCTGAGTGGGCAGGCAGCACTTGAAGCAGGTTGACAGTCAGGCTAGATAAAGACCAAGTTCAAGGATCACGTGGCAGGACATGCAAGACCTGAAAGCTATTCTTGCATGGTTTGGAGCCAAAGAAGCCACGTAACAGCTCTTCTTCAGAGACTGACACATTTAAGAACAAGACTCTTTTTTCTTTAAGTTCAACTTGAAATTCAGGCTGGGGAGAACATGGATTTAGAGGCATAAATTCTCAGCATTTCTGTTTTTTCAAATACAACAGGAGTTTGGCCTGGAAGATCCAATTTGGAAGCATCTTGACTTAATTACATGTTGCATAATTTAAAGCACATTAGGAATTCAATGTTGGATTTTGTGTTCTCAATGATTTAAACTGACTGCAGACTAAACTTTCACAAGCTTTAATTTGTATATAAGAAGAATTTTTAAGACTGCACTGAATAACCTTGTTTCATGCTGTGTCCTTCACAAGCGGAAAACCAGAAAGAATCCTGTGCAGAAGCAACTTTGATTTAAAAAAATTAAGCATAACAGGATATTAATGATTTCATTTTCACTTTTTATTTTTAAAGAAAATATCGTGAGTGAAATTGGCTGCTTCTGCTCAGGAACCCTAGATCTAGGTGGAGCAGAGAAGGCTGGCAGTTTGAAAAAGTATTCAATTTACCCTGTAAACCAAGAAACTGGATCCAAAAGTCACGAACAGATAACAAACGTGGAACTCCACGCTCCTAAGTTACAGAGTTAGCAGTCAGTGAATAACTGCACTTTAACAAGTGGATTATTTTCTAATTCAGGCATCTACCTATTCAAAACACTCATTTGCATGCACAAAGCAAGCAGCTTTCTTCAGAAGTGGGCAGCTAAGCATATATGCAACTAGCTGTTCTACACTGTGCAATTATTTTGTGGAGTGTGCACATGCATTTTTCATGTGCTTAGCTAAGACTGCAGTATTTAATTATGTGCACGAATTAAATAAAGGGAGGAGGACTGAATCAACACAGGTGAAGAACAAAGTTCTCCATCCGCAGAACAAGTATGATGAGAGGGAGTGGTGCCTGTCCTGGCTTCCTGGGCCTCCCCGCTGCCCTGGGATGAGCAAGAAGCTGCTTCGTACTTGCTTGCCCAGGCTGCCCCATACAGGCCCCTTCAGCTGGTACCCTCTGCAACTTCAAGATCTGCACGCAGAAAATAGGACCCAAACTGCCTAATCCATTCACACGGGCTATAAAGCAGCCAGGATGATAACAAAAACGAGTCGACCTAAGTGCCAAGAGAGAGGTGAAAGACTTCTTCCCCACACCAGTTTCCTGAACCATGCAGTTGCCAGAGCTTAGGTGCCAGGACTAACAATGCTGCTGCTGGAAGCACAGAAGTGCATTGTCAAGGTTGGAAAGCCTCTGTTTGGCTTGAGCTTTTTATGACTGCTTATTTTGTATAGTTCGGAAAGAATCCATGTGATTCTTAAAACAAAAGTCAAGACACATCCATATTAAAGTGCTTTAAATGTTCTCTTCAAAAGAGAGATCTAGTTTGCTGCCAGTTGCCCGGTGCTCTGAGGGGAGTTAAAAAGGTTACAGTAAAATATTAAAGATAAAATCTAATTAGCAAATTAGAGTTATGCAAAGAAGTCATGCAAAACCCTTTCATGCAAAGATTAAGGAACACACAATCTGCTACAAGACAAAGGAATTGAAGCCAAGAGTAAAAACGTTTTAGAGAAACATGTGAGACAACAATAAAGCAGAGTGGTAAGAAGATGAGGACACTGGTACCATACTGTAACTCGACTTATTTTTTCTGGTCACTGCTTGCACCTCTCACCCCTCCAAACCCAGCTGGTTTGTATACTTGATGTAAACCACTAATAATTCAGTAAGCAGACAACCTTTCAGCCTCAAGACTTTTTCAGAACAAAAGAGTATGAATAATAATTCCATTTTTTCCCTGTTAAAGAGTCTGCTACTTCTTAGAAGTAAGTTAGCTTTGTCTGCACTTACTTAAAACCTTGTGTTTACTTTACTTTCATAGGGACATGCACATATATATATATATATATATGTATGTATGAAAGCACAAACAGTTGTGCTCTCTTCCACCATATCTGATTTCAACTCCCAGGTGCTCATCGACGCAGGAGGGGGAGCATGACACTCATTGACCAAACACGACCGGCCAAAGGCAGAGAAGTGCAAGGTGTATTCTGACTGCACCACTGCCAGTCCTAGCTGCTTGCTTGATAAACTTTCCTCTGAAAATAAGCCTAACCGTTGGGTGATACCAGCCATCACTTCTTTCCCTGATATGAGCAGTATTTTTTTTCCTAGGAAGTGAACTGGTTGAATTTATACCCTATATCTTACCATTAATGTTACATTATCAAGTATATGACACTCCCCATCCTCAAGACACAGTATCTGCCTCACCCATTAATTAGCACTCCCAAGCCCATGAAGAGACAAGCAGCAGCCCCCTTTCCACTGTGGGGCAAGGAACTAAGGAGAGGAAGGGCAATACTTCATCTGCTATTACAAAGCAAGTCAGTCAAAAGCAGAAAGAATTAGAGCTAAGCTGTTCACTGGCCTGGGACCAATGCATACAACCCCTTCCTCCCCTCCCAACTCCCTCACTCCAAGGCATCCGCACAAGAAACATTAAAGAGTCTAGAATAAATGCTTTACGTGTGCAATATGAATCCACTTCTCAATGATCTTGGCTCTTTGCTGTGTTTTGAGTTCCTTGTCCTTCAGGACAGTGCTGATGACACATTTGGTAACTGCATTGAACTGAGAGATGGTAGCTCTGATGGTAGGTGCCAGGTTCTTGTTTTCTTTCTTATCCCTTTGAGACCAGATGCATCCCAAACAGTGGTGGGGCACAACTTGCTTGAAGAGTTTCTAGAGTGAAATAGAGGTGGTTAAGGCAGCAGGATTCTCCTGGATCTTTACTGTCCACAAGAAGAAACGTATGTTTACAGTACAAATAGGATCTAAATCTATTATGGTATTAAAAGATAAATATTTGTTTTCCACTAGTTTAAAATATACACTTTGGCATACTTTTTATAGGCTTGATGCTCTAAAATGTCTGTCAGCTAAACAGTCCTGGGAAAATAAGAGACACCATTATATCAGTTGTATAACCAAGGGGGAAAATTATTTCTATATTGATATTTTGAAGGAGATCGATACAGACAAACTAAATCAGAGCACTACAGTTAAGAGTACTTATACATCTTTAGGCCAGGTAGCAATATAGTAAAAATGTGCTATTTATCAGGTGTCAGATATTGAACTTTGCAAAAAAGGCTACACATTATACATTCACACTTTTTTTTTTTTTTTTTTTTTTTAATTAAAAAAATCCCTTCAGAATGGCTGAAGGAAAAATCCCAATGAACGAAGGAAGTTTGGCTAACCAAGCAGAGCTGTGTTCTGTGTCACAACAACAGACCTGTTCTGGAACACTATACTTACATTGACATAACTTAAAAAAAAAAAAAAAAAAAAAAAAGAGAAGCCCAGCACTATTTCCCCTAGCACTTTAAGTAGTACATATACTCTACATACTGCATCCATGTATGTCAACTGTTCTGCCACAAGGTCTTCTTGGAAAAAAGAGAATTCTTCTGGAGTGCTGATCTCCAGTTCCTCTTCATCATATAGGTTACAGGGGGAAGTGTTACGGAACCCATCTGTCCAGGATGCAAAACACAATTTAGTAAATTTGTACAGCAGTGAATCAAAGCAGATGTTTGTTTATTTTAAAACACCACTGTATATATTATAGCAGAACTCCCAAAGGGTCCTGCCTGACCTAATGGCCCCACTGTGCTGCATATTTTAGTGAGAAAGATGATGACCAGAAGATTAAATTGGCAGAGAAAAGGTGGAAGAAAAAGGAATAGAGTTAGAGAGAATTGAGCTGGTCAGGGTCTCTTAGCAGAAAAGTGGCTTAACCCATTCCCTAACCATTTTTCTGAAAGAAAAAACATCACTGCCCCAACAAAAATTCCTTATTAACATTGCAGAATTTTGTTAATCTACTTTTCAGTATTCATGCATTTTCTAATCTGAAAAAAAAAAAAAAAAAAAAAAGATAAAATCAAACTGTAAAGGGACAAGAATGTAGTTCTATCCCCAAAATATTGCATTAGGAATGCTCCTATATCCAGATTTCATCTCCCACATGTGGAACTACAAGGAGATATCAGATTTCTTGGCACCATTTGTGGCTACATGTACTATATTGAAGAGAGTTTATTCCAGCATCCCTCACCTTCCCTCTCTGGGAATTTTTCCCAGAAAAGGGAATACAGTAAGCACCTACAGCATTCGGCTGAATGCTTCTTCTAAAGTTGCACCGGGCAGCAGTGGAGAGGTGAGAGAGGAGAGCTGTCCTCACCGACAGACCTGATCCACTGCGGGAGAGAAAGGATTTCACAGATGTTCCCATGTCACCTTTTGGCTCCCACAGGTTGGGAACAAAGTCACGTTAAAACACAGAGAAATATGCCCTTGTTTCCCATGGTAGAGGAGGAAGTCAAACAGAAAATCCCTGAAAACAAATCCTCTTCCTAATCCTTTTTACCATAAGGGACAGTAACTCCGTAAGAAGGGAGAAAAAAAAAATGGGTTTGTTGAAGATTAACAATGAAAGTTCTGAGTTTACTACTAGTGAGATTTCTTTAACAAAACCAAGCAGCACATTTCAGAGTATGTTATGCAATACTTCATACTCAATTAAAGCAGAACAGACATTCAAGTAACAAAAAGCAGATAAAGTGATACTTTATCATTGTTTTTCAAAATAGTTTGGTTCTTCTTTCTTCATTAATTAGCAAAACCTAATCATCAATGTAAATTGCTACAGTTCTGATGTAAGAAATTATAACTACAGGCTGTATCCAGATTCCCATCTGTACATTCCGATTGCACAATTTATTGACAGAGCTAAATGCAATAAGTGGAGACCTCTGTTCCAGCATTATTTTTCTGTGGCTGTTTTGTAACAATGTGCATAATTAAATGGACTGCTAGTGAACTGTTACAAGAGCTACACTTTTTTCCTCTCTCTTTTGGGCTATGTTACTCTGCATTTTCCTTTCAGCTCTTGGAATTCAACTGAAAATCCTCATCACTGGACTGCAAGCCTGCTCAAAACCTCACAGTGCCTTTAAAATCAGGTCCTGGAGTGCAATGCAAGACTTTCCCTTTTCTTTTTGCAATGTCTCTTTCTCCTTTCTCTCCCACCTTCATAAATGTGTAACCAGTCTTTTCCCTACTCCCCAAGAAGCTGGAATCCTCTTGTACTCAACTATCTCATCATCTTCAAATCGCTCTGATCCATTTAGCCCTCTCAAAGCCCAGTTGCCCTCTGACTTCACTGAGAGCAACCACGTGTCCCTTCTGAATTTGCAGCCTCTGACTCACCTTCATTTGTATTGCTCAAGCTGCAAGAGTCCAGGCCAGGAACAGCTTTTATCTATGTATCTGCTACTGCAATCTGATCTACTGGCATGGCTGATGGCAGCACTGAATGGAGGTCTGATTACACAAATCAAACTGTAGGATTAGGACCCAAATTTGTAAATTCATAGCACAATATGAATGCTTGAGAACAATAATTATCAGCAAATCTTGATGGCAGACAACAGCTAAGAGTTTTGAAAGAAACCTCTGAAATTAACAATGAGCTCTGATAAAGTGACAATTCTAAACCTCCTTTCTGCAGACTCCGCAGGTTAATTGCATACTCTTATTTTAGTCTAATTAACAGCCTCTATTCTCCCACAATTTGGGAAATGTTATCATTCAAACTGACCCATCTGTAACTCTGAAAAGAACCTTTTCACCTGTTATTTGAGGAAACAAATGCAGAAGCAGGGCTGCTGAGAACTTCTGTTGACTTTGAACAACAGATGAACCCAAATATAACCCTCGTGAGCTTTCTTGGTTTGACCTGGGGGAATCAAACCCAGGAAAGGACATCAACAGGCAGATATTAGCAATCCTGCTCACTTACCTGTGTTCAATGAGGAAAACGCCTGGGCTCTGTGCGGTATTCCTTTTTATGTACGTGTTAAAGGCCAAGTTAATTTGTCATTTCACAGTATTATGCATTGTCATGGTATTTCTGGAACATCCGGCAGACATTATTTTTATGGGATCAAATGTTGGTTTGGTTTTTGTGGGTTTTTTGGTTGGTTTGTTTTGTTTTTGTGTTTTGTTTTGGGTTTTTTGTTTGTTTGTGTTTTTCCCCTGTCATTTCCTTTATCCTTTATTACATGAATTATTCCCTCTCACCCCTCTACCAAAGCTGGGAGTTGATTCTAGTTCTCATTCATACACTATGTGAGCTCCTATGACTTTTCAGCTTATGCCACAGGAAGCTTTCTGACCAGGATAAGGGTACGTGTCAGGCTTGACGCTGCACGCAGCATATTTGTGTTACTACTGTTCACTATTGTTTCAGTAGTTTGTGTCCCTCAATAATGTAAGTTTTTCCTGTGTCCCTTGGATACCAGCAGCCGGCCACTCAAATAGGAAAAAACAGGCACAGAAGCTTCCTTTGACATGATGGTAACTAAGAGGAAAAGCTTCATGACAACAAGGCTTGTGACTCGAGCTGTATTTTGTCACAGCTCTGTATTTTGTTGGTTTGGGCTTTTCTTGGGGGGGAAGTGGTGGGGTGTTGAAATGAGAAGACCAGCTAAAGAGCAGCTGTGTGTTTGAATTCCATGGCATGGGAAGTGTGCTGACAATTAACCACTTGGCTGCTGCAGCAATCTCAAAGCTTTGGCTAAATATTAGCGAAGTGCTGGATTTCCCAGCCACTCCAGGATTAACAGCCATAGGCACCTACACTCGTACAACTCTTTCATCTCAGACAGAACCCGCAGCCTTGCACAGAATTTTTTTTTTTTTTTAAAAAAAGGAAACAAGAAAAAAGTCACTGGTGAGCCTCACAATGCAGTCAATTAGCATAGGAGTTAATGAAGTGTACTCCACACAAATCTCTGTGCTACCATACAGTCTGGGAGAACAGAAGGGCAGCAGGGAAAGGTATCTTACCATCGTTTTCCACTTCTTGGTTCTGGAACTGCTCCAAGAGTTTCTGCGCCCTCCTCTCTGGGTCAGAGCCAGGGATATTGCTCTTCAGGTAATCCAGCAACTTCAGCAAACACGGGTAGTTGGGTGGCTCTCGGAAATCCTCAGGGCACTGATCGAGCCAGGCTCGTAAGATTGATGCTATTGCACTAAGAGCAAAACCACAGAGAACACGCTGGTTGTATACAGCGTGTATCGATGCAATCATATGTATCTAAAGCAACAATAAAAAACCTGAGACGCTCATAACCCACAGGAAAGCAGTATGAAGACTTTTTTGATCAAGGAATTTAATTTGTTCTTTTTATGTCTGGAATCTTATTAAGATATCACTCAGATTTTGCCAGGGACTTCAGTGAAGTTGCTCCTGATTGGCCCTCCTCTAAGTGGATCAAATTATAATCCCCAAATGCAAACTAATAAAGAATCTAATTCATTTAAGCTATTGTGCAGCTTGGAAGACTCTAATCACATTTAAAAACAGTTTTGGAACAAATTTTCACAACTCTGCTCTGACAAGTTTCCACCATACATGCAACAAGTGTGGCCTTCACTGTTTAGGCCAGTGGTGGGCAAACCTTTTATCTGGAGCTTCAAGACCATTTTTCTTAGTCAGGATGAGTGCCTCACAACAGCCAGTGCTCCAGGACCGTCGTGGCAAAGCTAACAGTGCCAGCTCAGCTCCACATCCCAGGGCACAAGAAAGGCCACAACAGACAGGTAATGCTCCCAAGCTCTCGTTCCACCCTCCCCTCTCCTCACATTTTTAATCGCCCTCTCTAGCCCCACACAGACCCAGGATGCTGTGTCACAGCAGCACTTGCAGTCACAAACACAACTGTGCTATGCCCGCTGTATTTTTATTTCTTTTCCACCACAGGCAGGGGAACACTGGGCTTTGCTCCATGCCCTAATCGTGTATTTTCTCCTGCTCTGTGCCCCTTTTTCCCCACCCATATCACAAACTCACCATCATCCTTACAGACTCCACCACCAAAACCTAGGTTGAGTACTCTTTTCTTATGAGCATTTATCAGTTGAGCAATGATTTGGAAGAAAGAGTCCCTCCACAAGATGAGCTCTTGTACTAATATTGTTCACATGCTCTTTATACTAAGCTCAGTTTCCAGAGGCTTGGTTGATGGCCACTTTCATAAGCAGAAGAATAAACAGAGTTTAAGACAGATCCAGTCTCCCAGAACAGGGTGAAGAGTTCACAGCTGTTACAGACACTGATTTCTGCCAGTAAAATCATTTCAGTCAGAAGGGGAAATAGGAAAGAGTAAAAAGGTATGCTGTGCCCTACTGACCTCCTATCGCCTGACTGTTTAATTGGTGTATCAGGGAGAGACATGTTCTGAAAACAGGCTGGAGATTTGCCCATATCTTGCAGTAGCTTTACATTTGCTGCCCTTGAAAAGAAACTCCCTGTACTCAACAGACCCAGAGACAGATAGGAACGGGAGACTGACAAGATCTCAGACAGGCAAGACACATCACAGACTACATTTTTCACAGGTTGATTATGAGCTATAATTTTTTCCTTTCATGACTATAAGGAAAAACTTTTTAACGTTTAACTCCTCTTCTGCCAACCACAGACTCTGCGCTCTGGTCAGCAATGCTTTCAAGTTTCACACCTATTTGAAAGCCCTCTGATTTCCATACCCGCCTTGCTTCAAGTCCATGTCTGAAGGTTTCAGTCTCCAAAATCTATCTACTCTTAGGTGGAAGCAGCATATCTGATTCTGTCGTTTACAAACTGGGAACACAGAACTACTCATCCGCTCACATTTACCCATGAGCTACCACAAAACATGATGAGGTTGCGGCAGCTCCAAGTCTAACCTCTCTGTTAAGCTGAGCTAGCAGGGCACAGAGGAGGTGGAAAATGAGGCCTTAATATCACATAGCCACAAGTGATTCAACAGGTTACACTTAAGTTCTGCATAGTCTTTCCTCAACTGAGAAAACAGCTATAACACTGGTCCTGAATAAGTCTGCATGGGAATTAAAGAGATCATTTCTTGCCAAAGAGGCAAAAGCACCATTTTCTTTCCCACCACAATTATTTCTAAAGAATGAGTAGAAGGGAATCTCAACAATTAAGAAGAATAAGGAGAACCTCAGTTGCAAAGAGATTAAATGACTGATTTCTTATGAAATTAGACAGTAACATGCACAAAACTATCTACAATTTACCAAACACGTACTTAAGACCAGTAATGGAATAACCTTTACAGAGGGCTCTTCCCTCTGCTCCACTGTCCATGCAATAGCTTTCAGGCTTAATCACTCAGCCTAAATTAAGCCAGCTGTATTTTCTCAAGTTTTGCTTGTTAAATAACAACATGGGCAGTTAAATCTCAGCTTTGAATCAGTGATAAAATGTATGTGAACTGCAAGCAGAGGCTGATGTAAGGGTAGTTTCTTACACCCAGACCATTTATAAGTAACGTGCTGATGACTTTCAGCAAATTATCTGTTCTTTTGATTTGGGAAGAACCAGTTGCATAGAATACGGTGTGACTATTGCTGGGATGCATGTAAAGTCACTAAGGGAATAGCTCTGCTAGTTGTTCTTTGTTTTAATTGAGATGCCAATCATTATTTTTCTTTGCTCTTCTGATTATTCTTTTTTGCTTGGTTCTGGTTGTTTTCATAACTCTCCCACTCTTCCTTTGCTTATACTGCCCTGAGTTTGACTCTGCTTCTCATGTAACCACGTTGGTTTCTGCTGTTGTTTTAGCTTAATTGGCTTTACTGGAATTAATGCTGATTGTTGCTCTCCCAGATGCCTCTTAACTGCCTCCCACCATGGATTTCCCAGGCATCAGAACCTTCCAGCCAATTTTCTTCCATTTGTCTCACATTCCTTCAGTGTCTGTTCTCCTGGAGTACAATGTTTCAGGACCAGTTTTATTCCCGCAGTACTGTAACTGTGCACATTGTTTTCCAGCAGGGCTGATAACTTCAGTAGGAAACAAAGGACAAGTTTTCTGTCAGGAAGGTCTAAATGCACGAGAAGCCATGGGAACGTGCTTGTTTATCACTACGAGAGACTTCAAATGCTGCAGTATTACACTGAAGGTTTCAGTATTTGCTACTGTAATGCAGAAGAGGAGGGGTAAACATGCAAGACATGCCATGTGGTAATCAAACAGTTCCTTGATTTTCTTTATTTGAACTGTTTGACCCAATTGTGGTGGAATGAAACAAGGAGATTTCAGTTTAGCTCCGAGTTGCTTTGTCTGCCATTTTCAATCACACCACATTCCAAGTTTTAATAACAAATAAACTCCACATGTTGATAATAAAGGCGATGCAACTAAGAGCTGACATTCAAAAAAAGCCCTGAGTATTCTGATTCATTTCTGTGGCCTGTCATTCATCTGAGGGAGAGCAACACCAATCTATTCCAAACCAGCAAACAAAAGCCAGTAGCAGAAGGAAACCACAACCTTATACTCCAAGAGGAGGCTTCAAATGACTTTTACTGTTACTCAAGCTCATTTGGGATTTAAAAGCCTCAGGACTCAACCATGGCAGTCCTTGGAACTGCAGAAGAGGAGAGTTTGAAGGCTTAAAGTTATTTTACTTTTTGTACTACATAAACTGCTTCTGCTTCTCATTCAGCTGGTCCAACTCCAGTAAGACTCCTCCCTTTTAGAGCACTGGGGATGTCAGTATATGGTGTAGCCAAGGAAGAAAAAAAAAAAAAAAAAATATAATTAAAATCTCCCATTGAAACCTCATACTGCAACCAGGAGACCAGTTTTCTGGATCTACCACTATGTCTTTAGTACCCTTGAGAAGTATAACCTAAACTGGGATTTATAAAAGCTCTTAAACTTTCTTTGGTTTTATCAGAAGGAGAGGTGTAAATGTAAGGATCAGAACATGGCTCACTTTTTACAGCACAGCTTTTCCTTTTCATCGCCTTTGCCCTGGCTGTGGAGTGTCTTACTAGCTGCAAGCACAAGAGTTATTTCTACGTACAGGGGGAGATGGCACACTTTTTCCTCTCCCCATTATATTTATCAACATGCCTAAAGGGTATCTTTAAAGAACACATACCAGTGTTAGACCTCTGGAAAGCACACAAATGATGATGAATCATGGTTCAAGTCCATGGACCAATATGGCAACATTGTCTGTCTTTTGAAAAAACCTCTCCCACAGGTAATCTCAGGTTCATACTATTGTATGTTTGAGCGAGGTCTTCATGTATCTAGATCCAGCTGACATAAAACTAGTCTTCCCTGAATGCGAACATTGCAGGCAAGCCTGGACCTCCAGGCTGGACATTTTGCTGTGTGTGCTGAACAGGAATGAATCACTTTTGGGAACTTCACTGACAGAAATCTTTAAAACTCGTGACAGCATTCTCAGCACCTTTTATCTATGAAGTGTGATGTGCTGCATCAGCTCTCCAGGTCTTGCAAGCCTAGCAAGTCATCTCAGTGACATGGCCTCAGCACTGTTTCGGACCCTCACATTACTCAGAGGCATCTCAGTAGCCACTGAAGCTACTGACTTCCAAAACGTACAAGCAGCTATGGTATTTTACACTTCGAAGGCTTTATGGTTCTTTCTCTGTCCTCAACCAGCTCCAGCCACGTCTTTAATGCCTATCTTCTGGGAAATAAATGTTCTGTTCCTTTAATACATCACCTTTTTAAATTCATGGAGCCTGTGGTTTGGGTATAGTTGTCTGCCAGTAGTGGATTGCTCAGAGATCAAAACTAACACCATCATTCAGCAGGGAGAGGCAAATAGGGCACAAGTTATTTCACAGATCATTCTGCATACAAAACTCAACCTTTTAACAGTGAGTTAAAAGTTAACTGAGGAACTCTCCTGCTCCGAATAGAGATCACTGTGATCAGGTCATATCACCAAAAGCATTGTTTCTGACTATCTCCTAGGCAATACACACAACCATTTCAGAAGGACTGAAGTCCCCAAACAGCATTAGTTGCTTGGCTTGCTGATCCCCTTCACAGAATATGTAGAGGTGCTTGATATTTCTTGGATGTGACTATCTCATTTAAGTTTCCCATCACTCCTGGCTAGTAAGGCATGCAGAGTCTTCACATCAGGCACAAACAAGAGAAAGTACTTTACTTCTTTTTGCTCTACTTTCTTCCCTCATTCACTTTGTCAGGTGACGTGAACCAAACCACACACCTGAACTATACAACCTCACTTAAAAACTAAAATATAACTGAATTATAGTACAAATTCTCTACAGTTCAAATAATGTGCATTATCATATGGACCTGTTTAAATCTTTGTGTTACTTATGCTGATAAAACCATACATACATTAAACACAATTTAAAATTCTCCTGAATTGTCACATGTCTTGGTGTGTTCTATCTATCCTTTTCTCTCTGAAAGTCAACATAAGTCCTAACCTAAAAAACATGAAGTGAACACAAAGAACTCCAAAGATAATGATGATCTAACAAAGCTGAGGAGGCAACACTGTCAGACCTCAACACAAAAACATGCAGAACTGAGAAACAGCACCAGGCAATCTTGTTTATACGATGCAAGGAAGAGCAAAAAGAATTGCTTATAGGAAGAGATAGAGGGTCAAGTTACTCCTTACAAGTCTCTTATCTGACAATTAAGAGAGGCATGCCATCATATTTCTGGAAATACAGGCTGAAGTCCATCTAACTCAGACATTTGACTGGAATATCTGACCTTTCCTGGACTTTATTCTTCTGTTACTTGTGATCATGAACTTTCTGACTGACAAAGTAGTGGGAACTGTGGAAAGCAAGCTACTGAACAGGAAAAGCTAAGGTGGGTCCTAATACCAAAAAACAAAAGAAAACAAACCCAAAAACTTAAGCATGCATGACAGGCTTTTTTTAAGCTCACAGAAGTTTGGATGGTGTTCAAAGCCTACTCATAACTCTAAGGTCCAAATTATATGTATTTTTAAAGTTACAAAATTACAGTACCCTTGTTTAAACTGTGTATTACTGAACACAGTTTTAAAGAAAAGGGCAGTAATAATAAAAATCCTGAAAGACATTTTGCATTAGATGCAATTAAGTCAGGTCCCTGTTGAGAAATGTAATTTTTTTTGACCACTCTAGCGGTCCAAAAATGATAGGAATGATGCTTAAGTGAATAGGAGAAAATCCCCTTTGTAGAACGGATCCTTAGAAGGCATGTTTCCGAACATGGCTGAAGTGATCTTGGGTCAGTAACAACTATATGTCACTGCAACAAGTGTGAGAAGTAACTGCTGGCTCAGGCCCAGAATTTGGAAATGCAAGGGTAGGTTTATAGCTCCCACGGGTCTCTCAAATGAGGCTGCACCACGAGTGCACTCAAGCCCCAGCACAGGGCTTGCAGGTTCTGAGCTACATAAACACTGGGAGCAATGCTAAAATAATAACAACTAAAAAAAAAAAAAAAATTACGTATGTCAGGCATTTTACTTCTCAAAATATATCACAACCCTGTACTACAAGTACAAAAAGCACAGAGAATTTCAACACAGAAAGTAGTAACCTGTGGGCTTACAGTATACCACATGCAACAATATTCCCCCCCCTGCAACGTACCTAAGAGTCTGCAAAAACCTCTCCTCCTTTAAAGCTCCATGAGATATTTAAAGAGTCATAAATTCTTCTCCTGCATTTGTTTTTAACTTCTGCAGCATTTTTTTGTGTCAAAACAGTGGAAATGCTTTAAATTGCATCCCCATTTCTAATTTCCCAAATGGATTTTTAAAGCATCTGAACCATCACAACAGGAGTCTGACGAATGCAGATCTCTGGCCACAGACCATGGGCTTCCCCATGAGATATTTTTCCTCTGAGAAATACAGTTAATGATGAGAAATAACATGGCTCTACTGCTTCTTCCTCTTGTTTCTCCAAGTCATATAAAACTGAGAGCACAATTATATCATGTTTCTGTTCTATGAGAAAAGGCAAATGCAATTATATTGGAATTATCCCAGACAAGAGAAAACCTGAACTACTAGAACTACGTGTTTCACAACAGAACTACAAAGCCAACCTGTTTTCCAGATACCATTAATCATATCCAAGAGACAAGTAGCCAGAGCAACCTACAGCAATGGAAATTTTTAAGGCAGGAAAGTGAATTCACATTTGTACAGGATCTGTTAAAACACGTTATACCTGACAAATTACTTGGACAACTTCATTGGTGAGCTTTCTATAAATAGTTGGGTAACAGGTATTGAGACATAAAGGGCATCTTACAAGGGCCAAAACATCAAAATTAGCTGTGCCGACTACATTAATGAAAACTATGTCAGATAAATTTATCAGAAGTTGTGCTACCACAGCAATAAGACCACGGACTCCGTCCATTTGTCAGTCCCTGGCTGTGCAAAGGCATTACACGATGATTACATGCCAAGAGGGAAGACAGCATTGCTGTAGCAGGAGGCAACTAGGCAGGGGGATATATGATAAACCATGTGTATGTCAGTAGAAAAACAATTCCATTAAAAAAAAACACCCACACACCACCACACAAACATGCTTCTACTAAATCCTATTTCACTTGCATGCTCACCTCCACGTGTAACAAAAAAATTGATGCATTTTGCCCAAAGCCTGAGTGATACCAACATCAATATTACTTTCAACCCTTTTCTCTCTCTATCTCATAATCAAGCTCCTTTGGGTCCGTGAAACGGCAGTTGGGAGATTAATCCCAACATGATTTATACTGGTGAAATTATCTTCCTCATCCCCAATATAAATCCTTAATCTATTTTGCAGGAAGTGTACTGATTTAGCTCATATGTTATGGCTGGACTGACTGAGATAGGGGGAAGTCAAATGGTTTGCCCAAAGCTGGAGGAAACCCTAGAGCTCATTTTGGATGGGAGTGTGGGAACCCACTGGTTGCCTATTATTGCCTCCACCCACCACATAACACTGCATTCTTAGTGCTTGTGATGAATTTTTAACTACCAGCTGTTCTTCTATGAGTTCTCATGGCAAAATGGGAGGAAAATATGGATAGCGCTCTGTCACAGCAGCCAGGAAAGAATCAGAGAATTGAGCTCCCATGTTGAGTCTCATGGGGCAAGAGCAACAGCCCAAATCATCAGAGCTTGGAGCTTTCTGTCCTTGCTAAGTGCTAAAAAAAAAAAAAAAACACACCAACCCAACAAATTAACAAGTGATAACATTTTGTTTCTAACTAAAGCCTTTGAGAATCCTGTATCATTTACAGACATTAATTAAGCTCTACATTTCTTCTGCAGTCAAGCAAGCATAATTCATTGTGTTGTCAGAGACAGCTACTGAAACCCTCACAGCCAAGGAGCTTTTACCAATTAATCTCTGGTGGTTAAACAAAACGGTTTCCACATGGATGATGGAAGGCAAAGCGACCCCACTGTCTGACCACTTCATCCAGACAATGGAGGACAAGAAGGTGTTCAGTATGTTAATGGCACATTTCAGGGCTGGGGATATTTGAACCATTTTAAGCCAGACTTGAAACCCCCCTATCCCAACCCACAAACCATCAGAAAAGCATGGAGGTAAGCAGTGGGAATACCAGGCCCAATATTGTAGAATAGAATGTCATTTGAATCAGCAGTCTGCCTGAATCTCAGAAATGAAAATACTGCAGTGTATTTCTCAGTCTTGATTGGACTGTGTATCTCAGAATAGAAAAGCTCAAAGTTTTTCTTCCATCTCAAAACAAAAGGAAGCTGAAGGCTTCTTCTGCAATTACACTTTGAGAAATCAGTGCACTGATAAAAAAATTTAAGGTTTTCTTAACTGGTGGAAGCTAAAATAAATTCATAGAAAAACAACCCTCAGTAACGCTGACAAGAATCAAACATCTTCATACTGTAATCAAATATAATGACGCAGCTACTTTTTACTGCCACAATGCATGCAAACCACAGATCATACAGATGTCAAAGAACAAATGCTGATGACCTAAGGCGCATTTTATACCCAATATCTAAAGATAAAATACAGTTTCATATGATGCTAGGAGGATAACTAAACCACTTTTTTTTTTTCCATTTAAAATGCATTTCAAAACAGCTTTGCTATTTTTCTTGCAAATTAGGATGACTTCAGAATTTAAATTTCACTCTAAAAGCAACACTGTAAATCATAGGGGCACTAATGAAAAAGATATATGCATACACGTTGCCTGAAACAACCTCAGCTCTGGCCTGCAAGCACTATTGTAATGCACAATAAAGTCAGTTATAAGAAATAATCATTTACTGCCATAGATAAGGCAGGGGAAACAAACACTCCTCCTTTGTTTAATCAACAAAATGTTGGCCTAGATGTGTTCATCTCATGTTTAATTCTGAGACAATTTCCCTGATGGAAAGATCTCTTGGTTATATTATTGGATATGTTACGAGACAGTTGATATTTGGCCTTTACACAAGCCTGTTTAAGCAAGCAAACAGTGCTGTGAAATTTCAAAGGAAACAACAGCTATGCTGCCCACATCCTCCCCCAATACCGCATCCTGACTGGGGCTCGCTGTACAGTGCAAAACCCCACTTACGTCCTGAGTACTGTATTGGATTCGGAGGAATTCTGGTCTCCAGCTTCTTCATAGCTTGAGATCTCCAGGTTTCCATACCTGAAAAATGAGATGGGTGGTTTAGAGGAAACTAGTGAATAAAAGCAAAATCCCAAATAGCATAATCCATATACAATCATCATCAACAACTAAAAACCTCAAACTGCAAACATGGAGTTTAACAGATGGGCAAAATGAAACAGCCTGCAGATTATTTCACTTACGAGGAGGAAAATCCTAGAGAGACTGCCAGTATCTTCCAACCTAATCTGTTAATTTATATGAAGCAGCCTGCACACAGGAGGAACAACCAAAACAGTTTCTTTGCTCACAGCTCCAAGACCCTTTCTGCCTGTTCTCACTCCATCCTTTCCCAGAGCAATATTCCAATGTGCAATGAGGCCGTAACACAACCACTTCCTCCAATATAGCTTCTGCTTCTCCAGTATTTGTCATTTCTTCTAACTCCAAGCATGATTTCACACTAAGTTTTCTAGGTGGCAAGTGCCCACTTGTGCCAAAACTACTGACACAGTTGTCTTGAGCGGGAATGGCCCGTGGCGCTGTGAAATATCACTGGGAAAGAGGAAACCATGGGCACAACTCCTACAGTGCAAAGCAAAATCTCTTACCTACATAGGCAGCGCATGTGCCTCGAAGGCAGGATTATGCACTTCATTTTCAATGGGAGTGCCCATTGTTTCAGATATACAGCTCCATGAAGAATTTCATGGTTCCTTACAGCCACCTTTAATGAAGGCAGACAATTACTCACAGTCCAGAATAAGGCAAGCTGATTTTACACATTGGGTGCTCAACTAATTGTGTCTGGCACCTGCAATTAATCTCAATGGTTAGAAGAGCAAGTGCATCATTGAGTGTTTGTGCTACAACATCCTAACCTCAGATAGAGAAAATATAGTGGGCTGTCGGTTTGTGTCCAGAAGGTTCATGTCAGAACTGTAACAAATTCATCCAAAAAGTTTTAAAGGATAAAAATAAGAGGTGTTAGCTTTATGCTCCTCTAAAGTATCAGTGTAAGGCTTCATATGTAAGAATTCCAGATCTGTACAACTACTGTAACTGAATTCAAGCTCACTCTCAGCAGTTCTGCTAGACTGTAAATAAAATGGTTTTGCGCCATCGTGCACCACATTCATACACATATACTGCCCTACCATGGCTCACAATCTCAGAACTCCACAATACTTTAAAATAAGAACTTAAGTTTCAACAATCTTATGACAAAGGCTTCATGTTGGACGATTCCACTGTGGATGGGGAAGCTGAGGCAGAGAAAGATCGATGGTTTGCCTACATTCCAGTGCACTGCAAAGTAAACACAAACTAATAAAGGCAAACAACTAATCCCTCTTATAGGAGCAGCAGAGCCACAGTCATAAGGAGGTCAGCTTGGGCTTGCTTAGCCTTGAGAGTTCTGCACTAAGACCACTTGAATTCTCTGAAACAGCTCATTTAAAACCAGATCTTGCATCTTCATCTGAACTGCAGATAGACATGACAAAATTATTTGCCCCAGCTGTTACCACATATCTGTGACAAAGCTGAGAGCAAAATCACGACTCTTGACCCCCGCAGCTTAGTCTGACCGACACACTGTCTCTCATTCAACCTAAGTTCTCACATCAGCGGTCAAGACTTTGGAAATTTCAGCATTTTATCTGTTCAGCAAAAAAAAAAAAAGTCAAAACACGTGCATAAAAACTTGCAAACTCATGTTTTAAAGGGCTCGAATTCTTCTCAGTTATCCTGAAACAGTCCTTCTAGCCTTATAAGACAGCAGAAATATGAAAGTAGGTTTTAAGGACTTCTTAAAACAGAAAGGGTCCTTAGAGGTACATACAGGATAACCCATTTTGCCATTGCAATTTCACAGAGCTAATCCAAGCATCTAAAGAAAAATATGCTTAGCTAAACTGACAATGGGGTAAGAATCCACTTCCAAACATGCTGAGTAACACCTCGATCCCTCGGTGGTCAGGGTAAATCACAACAGGAGCATTCACAGAGGAACCACCACTCCTTGGCACAAGAATGGCTGTCAGTCTTGCTCTGAAATTTGTTGGTGCGATGGCCTCTGTGCTTTCTACTATATTCTCCCAAGCAATTTCACACTCTGCCTGTGTTTTGTTTTGGTTTTGTTTTTTTTTGTTTTTTTTTTTTATTGGGATCCACACTACTGAAGCTGTAAAACTGTGTAGATACCTTCTTTCTGACTCTCAGCTATGCCTGAATTCTCCACTTAATCCTACCTGGCCCCTCTCAGCTCTCGGTCATACTCTAAATACTCATTACTAGTGTTTGCAATTCAAAGTAAATGCAATTAATTGTATGAGATACTTTCCACTGCTTTACTGCAAGGGTGGAATACATCAGAAGAGCCTTAAGAACAATACTTCCAATACTTTGCTAAGCTAAAGTGTAAAGTTTAATCTAATTTTAGTAGATTCAACTGTATTGGTTTCAATATTTGCTCTTACAGGCCTGTAGATTGTCCTGCATTTCCAAATACTATAACACTGGATAACATACTGTCTTACCAAGAAGAAACAAAAAGAGCGTGAGGGGGATATTTAGAGAACTATGCTGACACCTTCTCGGTGGAGATGGCCCAGGACAGAATTGAGACATGCTGCTGATATAATGTACACTACATGCTATGGTGGCTGTCGCTCTCCTGTTGCTAAAGGGAGAGGATTTCACTCTCCATTGCCATCTGCTAGGTAAGGTGACTAAACTACATCTTATCCAATAGACAAAAGATATTTTTCCCCCTGCTGGGAGAAATATGCAAAGAAAGCTTCAGGTTTTGAATAAGAATTCCATTTTTATATTAATTTTTCAAAACTTGCCATTAATTCTTAGAGCAAAATTTATTGAGATGACTCACAGCGTCATTGTCCTAGTATTGTATGAAATATAAAAGATGTATTTGTAGAACATTAGGCATTTGCATTTAAATCCCACTAGAGATACATGCTGATTCTTATAATATAAATGCATAACACAGTAATAAAGAGCGGGCAAATTTTCTGTACAAAATTGGAGAAGTATATAATGCTTCGTTATATTGCCAGATGTAAACCTCTGCCTATTTCTCAATGCAAGAGCTCTGCATGAACAACAGGTCATTAAATACGGGTTAGGAGGAGTTAATGATACATCTGATGTAAAGAACAGCATTTCTGCAGACTTCCACTGCTCTGTTCTCACCAGCTCCTGGACAAAGAGCCATTCACTACACAGCCTTGTATGAATGCTTTGCATACAAAAAGAGACATGAGAAACAAAAGGATCCTGTAGCCCACAGAACTTTTCAGCCTTGCTTGGTGTTTGGAAAGTTATAGACTCCACTCAAAAGGACTGACTAAGCAAATGAGACCAGAATGTAATGGGTAGTACTGAATATTTAAATACTGAAAAATAGAATAGAAAATGCAACCCTGCATAACTGTTAAGAAGGGAAGGGAAGAAGAGGGAGGAAAATACTCTGAATAACTTGGAAATAATAAGGAAAGGTAGTTTTCTGCAAAAGCCCCAAACAATGCCAAACCCAAATCAGGCTCGTAAGCATTGAAACAAGCAACTTGGAAGCACAGGTACTCAGCAAGAACCGTAAGGTGTTTTGAATTATACACACATAGAATCATGCAAAAGAAATCGCTTCTTTAGTTGAGTAGACAAACCACCTGCTGCAGAGGAAAACCACAGAGGAAAGAACAGATGCTACAGCAACAACCGTGAGCCAAATGCCATGTAAAAGCCGCTGTCCCAAAACATGTGGCTTTGCTACCAAAGGACTCATTCCTACTATGTCCCCTCTCTACCTTCATTTTCTTCTCCATTTACTCTCTATCGAGCCATCCTCCAGCAAAAGGCATGGCCTGAAATGTAAAGCTAGCTTGTTACTCGCAGTCATTATCCAGCTCTAGCTCTCCCATCCACCAGTATCAAATCCCTCCTCTGTACATCTCAAGGTAGGGACCGGTTGCTGCTTTACACATGACTGTGCCAAGCACAGTATGGCCCTGCTTTTAAGCGCCGTTGCAAGGAACACGCTTACCAGGACAAAATAAAATACGTAAGAGAGGAACTTGGCCCGTTTCTGCTCTCATCTGGACAGATAAACATCTTTGGCTTCTGTCACACTTGTGAGCGGTTAATTCCACAGCACACCCAGCGACAGTGGGGATACCAAAGGATCTCTGCGGAGGCACCCTGCTGTATCCCCACAGCCCAGGGGCAGGAGGAGCTGCTCTTCTTTTCCTCACTCCAGGAACTTCCATTGCGTGTTTTCACATCAAAATGTCAACAAGATTTTTTTTCTTTTAAATCTCCCTGCCCACTTCTACCAAACAAAGAGAAAATATCAGAACATACAGTGTTAAAGACTTGGCAGGTTTTCAAAGCCGTCTGCTGCATTTAGATGCCAAACTTCCATGAATACTAAAGGGATGCGGATGTCCAATTACTCTTAAATAGCTTTGAAAATACAAGTCATCCCCCTCACTTTTCAACATACCAGCTTATGCCCAAGATTTTGTTTAGTTTGACTTCTCTATGTTAAAAGAAAACCTTTACAGGCTGAATCCAGCCAAAAGAATGAATAGGGCTCCAGTCTCCAATTTAATAAAAAGCAAAAGCTTAATTTGGAGTCAGGGAGGAGGAAAAGAACAGATTTATTCACAATCTCCCAGAAGTGTTAGAAGTTACTCGGAAAACAAATGGTGCATCTCTGACTTTAGTGAAGATGGATGTTGTCAAAGGTCCCAATTTAAGGTCCATCAGAATAAGTAGTATAGCACTAAAAACCCAGTAAGTATTTTCTGATTGAAACACGGGGAACTGCATCGGTCTTAAAGTGTTCTGAATTGTACAATGGAAACCTTTTCACGCGCCTCACTCAATACTTTCTGTGACTCCACTCGGTGCCCTGGCTGTACCACAGGGCAGACAGCCCCTCGGGCTGTGCTCCTCTCCGCCCCGTTGCTTTGGGCACGGCTGTGATGACAAGTGGCACGGGCTGGGGGGGGGTCACA